GTGCCGGAAGTGACGTATCGCTAGGTAAATGGCGAGCAGTTCTTTACCAAACGTCCTGTAGCGGGATTCCGCTGGCTGCAGGCACTTGGAGAAGAACCCAAGGGGTTGCCATTGCCCCCCAACGTGTTGTTGGAGGACGGCTCCTACTGCTACATCTGAGGCATCAGTCGTAATAGAAAGAGGTGCAGTCGATTCGGAATGAGCGAGGAGGGCTATGTTGGAGATAGCATCCTTGAGCTCGGCGAAGGCTGCCTGTGCTGTGTCAGGGAAAGCGAACTTAAGTTCATTTCCTCTGAGTAGGTCAGTCAGAGAGTGCATGAGCTGAGCGCAGCGCGGAATGAAGCGTCGATAGTGGTTGACCAAACCACAAAATCGACGGAGGTGCTTGAAGGAAGTCGGAGCTGGGAAGTCCTTGATTGCCTGGATCTTATCAGGAAGGACTTCGATACCAGACGATGAAACGAGGTGGCCTAGGAATTCTACCGTTGATTTGCCGAGTTCGCACTTAGTCGGGTTGACTGTGACACCGTGTTGGGTCAAACGCTGGAAGAGAGCTCGAAGATGCTCGAGGTGCTCTTGTTCCGATGAACTGGCTACTAAGATATCATCGAGGTAGGAATAGGCGAAGTCTAGGCCACGAGTAACATCGTGGATGAAGCGCTGGAAGGTTTTTGCGGCGTTGCACAGTCCAAATGGCATCCTTAAAAATTCAAACAAACCGAAAGGAGTGATTACGGCTGTTTTAGGAATGTCATTGTCTTCCACAGGTATCTGGTGATAGGCGCGAACCAGATCGATCATGCTGAAGATCGTCTTACCTCTGAGGCATGCGGTAAGGTCCTGCATGTGTGGGATGGGATACCTATCTGGGACGGTTAGGCGATTGAGTGCGCGGTAATCACCACAAGGACGCCAGTCACCAGATTTCTTGGGGACCATCTGTAGGGGCGAGGACCAAGGGCTGTCGGAAGGGCGGATTATTCCAAGTTCAAGCATGTGCTCAAACTCCGCTCTAGCTACCTTTAGTTTCTCAGGCGATAGTCGGCGTGGACGGCATGACACAGGTGGGCCATTCGTCCGTATGTAGTGCGTGACTTGAGCTGCCACGGGCAAAGCTGCGTTCATTGGCTGAACGAGCTTGGGATACTGAGAAAGGAGATTAGCGTAGGCTGACGAGGTCTGGGGAAATGCATAGCCCGGGGATATAGATGTCACATCGGCCGTGCTGCCACGTACGCTGAGTTTTGTTGCAGTGTCGACTATCATCTGGCGTTTCGCATCGACCAAGAAGTCGAAATGCCTGAGAAAGTCAAAGCCGATGATGGCAAAGGGGACTGCAGCGACGGTGAATACCCAGCGGAAAGTGCGCCGAAAGCCTAGGTCGAAGGTAAGTGACCGATGACCATAGGTGGCTATTGGTGTGCCATTGGCGGCACTGAGACTTGTCGACAAAGAAGTGGTAGGCGCACCTGGCATAGGGGGAATGACGCTGACTTCCACCCCGGTATCAACTAAGAACTGGGTATCGGAGCCACAATCCCTAACGTAGATGAGACGACTTTGGGCATTGTCGACGCTCGTGGCCATTACAGCCCGGCGTGGCGGATCACCTGTAGCGGAGTAGCTACACGGCTGTACGCACTTACGGGCTTTAGTACCGAAACGCGAGTGGTAAAAACAGTAACCTGAAGCATCAGGTTTTGTGCGACGGTGCGATGATCCAGAGCGATTGCAGTGCTTATGTTTCAAGTTCAAGTTCAGTTGGGACCGGAACGATGGGATAATCCCGTGAATGTTCCTTCTTTTGCGTATCGTTGGATCGGGAATTGACAGGTCTGCTTGAGATGTTGAAAAGCCTAAAACAAAGACCGCATCACACCCTGTCCAACCAATTACTGCCCACATTTTCCTGCCCAGAATAAAAACCACATCATACGGAACCCTCTACATAGCAGCCTGTCCTCCCAATTTTCCCCAGGAAATTTTGGATGAAGCAATGGGGAGGTATGGGTGATTACCATAGATCAACCTGCTGAATGACAACAGGGAGAGTCATCACCTTTCACCAACCTACCATTGCGCCTTGTGGAGGGGAAACTAGCACCTCCTATGCGAAAGAGGGGACAGTTACATTTCCGCCTTTACTGTTTTATGGGCATCATACCACTAAAGGTTTGGACCAACTCCCAGTGCCTTATCCCAAGAAGCACTCTGAATAGGTGCCTCAGAGGCCACCATCAGGGATATCCATCAATATTCCAGTGTGCTTAAGAGGGTCATCAGCAAACAATAGCGTCGGTACTTCCAAGCTCGTCGGGCATAGGTTCATTGACTTTTAGATTGCGAAATCGAAAAAAACGAATACGGCCCCTTGAACACGAGCCCTGACGGGGGAAACGTCACTCTTTTAAGAACTAAGCTTGGCTCAAGCGAAAGGCTACAGCTCCCACGCGTACACACTGTTCTCTGCCCTCTAGGAAAGCAGAATACAACCCATTTAAGGGCGGCTCCAGATATCCATACGATCTCAACTTCAATGAGAGTCGTGATGTATGGGACAGTATCAAAGGCTTTCGAGAAGTCAACGAAAAACGCGTCGATGGCGTGGCCGTTGTCTACTGCCTCAGCCCAGCTTTCAGAGCTACAAGCACATTTGTCAGACATGAAAAATCCCTTACGGAATTCCGTGCTGAGGCCGCACTGAGAGGGGGGGTTTATAACTTACTCAGGTGATTCACCTCCGAA